CACCTGTGCAGTCTGTGTGGATGGAGCTGCTGCTGCTGCTGCTCTCAGGTTGGATCAGGTTGGTTTCAGTCCTTCAAGTTATGGATCAACTTTGCTGTTTGTTGATGCAGCATGTGAGGCAGGGACCTTCATCCTCCTCCTCCTCCTCCTCTTCCTCCTCCTCCTCTTCCTCCTTTTCCTCCTCCTCCTCCTCCTCCCTGCATGGTTCACCTCATCTCCGTCCGTTCACTCACCTCCTGCCTGCTAGTTACTGTAGGACCTCCCCTCCTCCTCCTCTTCCTCCTCTTCCTCCTCCTCTTCCTCCTCTCCTCTTCTTCCTCAGCTCCCATAGGCCCTTATTCATTCTCTCCTGTCCATATGGTTTCTGCAGTCAAACAGAAGAGCGCCTTCGCCCCCGTCGTGCGGCCTCAGACCTCCCCGCCCCCCACCTGCACCACCACCAATGGCAGCAACCTCCAGGGTGAGCATCCCCTCCCCCCGTCCACCTGTCCACTGTCCACCTGTCCACTGTCCCACATGGACGCCCAGACGGCGTCTCTGTGCTCATAGTGACCACTCAAAGTTGATCCATAACTTCTGGGAACCTGAATCTGTCACAGCTCTGTGTCCGTTGTGATTTCACTTCACTGACTTCCGTTTGCAGATTAATTGACAGACTTTGACTTTGACAACAAATTTCTGAGAATACAAATAAATCCAGCGGTTGGAAGTTGAAAACAGCAGCTGCAAAAAAACAGAAAGAGCAAATCACAGAAAGAAGTCCAGTTTGCTGGAGCTTTCAGTCGTACCACATGGTGCTAAATGGGCCCCCAGGGGAGGTTCTGTCTGCCCCATCTCTAAAAGTTTAACTGAATTACAAATAAAACATGTGGAACATGAAAGAACATTTACTGTTCTGCAGCTTTCAGTCGTACATGTTCTTCTTCAGCAGACACATTTTTCTATGTTTTTATTTAAAGTTTCTTGAATTGGGTTGATGAAACGTCTCCTCGGGGTCCATTCAGCAGCCGAGCCTTCGGTCACCTTCAGATAAACGGAAATAAATCCACTCAAATGTCCATTTATGCATTTCTTTTTCTTTTGTTTTAAAAACTGGCAATATGAAATGTGAAACAACACAATCAACAAACCAGAATGTTTGACCCGAGTTCAGTCCTCTGAGTCAGAACTGTCAAAAGACACCAGAAACTAACAGCAGAAGGAACCACCTGACTGATCACATCGCAGCTCAAACTCATGATTTTTCATTCAAATCACTTGATTCTAGATCAGGACGAGTGTCTGTTTCTGTAGAACAACTAAA